GTAGAATCCTTCGACCACCTGGTTCAATAAGATCACCAAGAACACCTCCTATGTGAGACACCTCAGTAAATAGTTGACAAACTGTGTTTAGGAGGGAGGCCGTCAAAGTCTCTGGGGACTGTTGGTTGTTCGGGGAATCAATAAGTGATGAAGGGGAAGCCTCTGGGGATGGGCTGTCAGAGGAGTACTCTGGTGTGTGCTGGGAGCTATCTGCAGGGGAGTTGGGGTTAAAGGAGGGTGTCACTGATCCTTTGCTTTGTTACCCCCGACCAGGATTTCCTGACATATATGGCAGCGGGGCAACAGGAGGTTGTCTTGTTTCCAGAAACAGATCGATAAGATCATCCGATGGACCCGACAGGGTAGGGGCAGATGGGGAGGTTCTCGGGAGGGAGATATAGAGAGGGATTTGCTGGCCAGCAGGTGTCTGGGATAGGGTTTGGGATACTGTTAATTTTTCATTTGCCTTTTGCAATTGGGTCTTAAGGTGTTCTTGGGAATTTTTAAGTTTCTCATTGAGTCCTTAAGACTCCTTACCTGAGATTCTCGGTGCTGTTTTTCCATTTCCCCATACCAACTAAAATATGCATTAAATTGACCTTGGCCCACCTTATAAGTCAACAGCATGCCCCTAAGATGTACTACTTTATCAAGGTCAAAATTCCCCTCTAAGGGAAATTGTAAGTCCAGATTATCCCTGATATATCAATTCCATTTCTCCAGACACTTGCAAGTGCTAGGACCGTAATTCTTGTACATATAAAAAGCAGGCATGCCTTTTGGCGGGATGGGGATCGTTTTTGACCCACCGCCTCCCATTCCTTCCTCTTTCGGGTCTTTCACACAGGGTGGACTTACAGGAAAGGTTTATGCTCAGGGTGTTCACAACTCTCTTTCAGGAGGTCAGACCAGTCAACGGTCCATCAGACCACCCTTAGGCGGTAAAGGGGGAAACAGAGGAAAGAAGTTGAGGGAAACACACTCATACAAGGAAGATTCACAGAGGATGTCAACGACCCTCTCACAACCCCCTTCAGCAAAGAACATCAGCTAGTGCCTCATATTACGTCAGGCGAGATGTAGGCAATGGCCAAAAGAATTAGGGTCGTAGGATGTCCAAGGAAGTAAAAATAGAGACAAGCATTCCTTGCCTCAGACGGGGCCCATCTCGCTGGTCAAGCCATGCAGAAACGGCCCATCTTGGCCAGGGCTTTTACCACCCTTCTCCATTGGGGCCACAGAGCTTGCTTTAGAGTCACCTCTGGTCACGAGCTGCAGCTTCTCAGAGGACTCTGGGCATCTTTCTGTGACCCTTGCTTTCCCACTGGCACACACACAGAGAAACTAAGTCCTAGGCGGCCACCTTTGTGACTTTTACGGCCTACCTGAAGGTGTCAGAGCTGTTTGACAATAAAGTTCAGATCCAGCATGCAACTTACCCAATTCCAGAGCCTACAGTCAGTTTTCCACCGAAAACCCAGTATAGAGATTTAAAAGGTCCCTTACCTTTCACATGGCTCCTTGGGTTTGGAGGGAAACGGCCTGCAGTCCTCTAGTCATGGATGATATAGGGTTGATCCCGGACGAGCCCCCCAACTTGTTGTGGAAAATGAGTCACACCATCTGTTTGGTTCAAACAGTCTGAGGCCTTTTATTGAATACAAGCATGCAGGGAGAGGGAGACAGAGATGGTCACACGCAGGTGCCACCCTAGTCTCTCTCACCCCTGCCCCTATAACATTAGTCTTATATAGGTCCAAATCCAAGCCACACGATGCCTTTCCTTATTAGTTTTTTTTTCACCACTCAAGCATTATTAATAAAGCCTTATAAGGAATAATGAAAGACAGCTTCATAATTAGCACAGTGCTGACACACCTTGTTATTATCAAGATCTGTAGTTTGCTGTGGCAGCATTTTGACTACGGACTTTTGCAGGGTAGGGTTCATATAATGGACAGCTAGGGACTTTTCTGGAGGCCCCTTTGGTTCAATTTCTAGTTAGAAAATTGACCCATTATCTGGGTCAAATGCCACAGCCTAGCATACGTAAATGCTTTTGGCTTAAGCCAAGTCTAGCCATTGTATAGCTTAGTGTATCAACAAAGAATTATTGAATTGAGCCAGTTGTATCTCAGCACTGGGTGAGGGATCCCTGTATAAAAAGCCCCTGTGCCCCACCCCAGGGGCAGCTGCATTTCAGTGCTGGCTGGGGGATCCCTGGATAAATGCACAGCCTGGAAAGTGCTTTGTTCTTGTGCAGGTTGACAGGCATGAGGATATGAAAGATGGGCCCACAGAGCCTAATCCTCTTCCAAAAAAACTCAATCTGTGGTTTTACCACTTCCCTTTCTTCCATGCTGTGCTGATTTGGCTCTGGGGGCAGTGGGGTGCATGGCCCCCAGGCTGGGTTCCAGATTATAATAGGGGAAGTTTTAAACCAGGATGACTCACTAATTTCTGAACTCTGCGTTTCCCCTATTTCTACATCTCTCTCTCTGGCCTTGTCTGAACTCCACCTTTTGCCTTAAAATTTCCACCTGTTGCTACCACCTCTGGGGTGCGGCATGAGGACTGTTTATACAGGGATCCTTGCCTGGCAATGAGATGCAGCCTTCTCTGGTGTGGGGTGTGGGGGCTGTTCATACAGGGATGTATCACCCAGAACTGAGATCTCCAGCTGTTCATAGGGATTCCATGCCTGGTACTGAAATGCAGCTACCTCTGAGGTGAGGCATGGCAGGAGCGGATGCTGGATCTAGTATAAACAGAGTTTATATCTGGTACCCCTTTTGTAGCAGCCTCATTTTCTCTCCCCATCAGTCTCTATCTCGCACCAGCTCTTGCTCGTTTCTTACAAACACCAAGAACTGGTCTCTATATTTAAACTTCTCTTTCCTCTGCCCTTGAGGAAGGCAGATCTGCTGCATGCATGAGGCCAGTTCCAAACCCTGGATGCCGCACATCCGCAGCATCGCGTTTGTGGTCGTGGCACTTCCCTCCTCTTTGTGCTCTCCGACCAAAGCTGTTTGTGGTGATAAAAGAAAACATAAGCAGCTCCCCGTCTCACACAAAGGGCAGCTGAGCCAGATGTGCAAAGAGCTCTGCAAACTGCATTTGAGCTAGAGAAAGGTCAGAGGGTTGCGAGAGCAAGTGGAGGCATGCATTAGCCTAGCTCCAGCGATTGATGACTAGAGCGGAGAGGGGACATAGTTTTGCAAAACTCACGAAAGTTGCATCCGTGGCCCTATGATCATCATGTCCGAACACCTCACAATGTCTACTATAGTTATCCTCACACTCCCACTGATCAAAATTATGCTGTCATTGAAAAAGTTCTATGTCATTGTCTGGGCTGTCAAGCGACTTAAACTCTATTTGTGTAACAAAAAAAAAAATCACTTTATTAAGGGATCATGCTCCTCTGACATCTCAACACCTGGAAGACCGTCTGGCAGATAAAGACTTTGAACTAGGGAGATTGGTCCCAGGCTGGAAGGGAGTTCAGTCTGAATACTGAGAGCCTGTAACATTCAGTGGGGTGAGAGTCTGTTTGATTCAAACTTTGCTTAGTCTTGTGGGGGAAATTACTGTTGACCTGACCCCTTCCCATTCTGCGGCACAATCTATGCACTATATGCAAGAGCTGTAACGCAAGAGGCCTACAGGCCTGTATCCTGTAAGGGTGTCCCCACTCTGGGATGCTCTCTGCACTGGGTGCTTCCCTGACCCCCTGATCATTACATACAGTTCAAAGCAAGTACAGTTTATTAAACAGCAATCAATTAAACAGCAACCAATTAAAAAAAATAAGGAGAAAATGGGAAAAGTTAAAGGAAAACCTGTCACCCCGCTCCAGGGCATGGGGACACCACAACCAGCGTCTCTGGAAGGTAGGGGAAGTTCACAGTCTGTTCCTCACAAGTCCCAGGCCTCCTGCCCAGGCCCTGGCTGTGCTACAGGGATGCCGTGGGTCGGACACTTGTGCTGTCAGTGGCCACACGCCCTCAGGCTCTAGGTGGCAGGACCCTTCTGCCCAGCGTCGCCCCTGCCCCATCGCGGTTATGATCCCCCTCCAAGTCTGGCCTGCAGGGCACCTTGCCTGGGGGGCATTTCCCTGCGCTGGACCGGCTGCCCAGGTTCTCTCTCCCCAGCTGCTCCCTGCACCTGGCTCCGAACTGCTCCAGCCCCAGCCCCAGCTCCAGCTCCACCGCTCTGCCTCAGCCCTGATGCTGCTGCTCTGCCTTCAGCTCCCTGGGCTGCTTCTCTGGCCCCTCTGGCTCTGGCCCAGCTCTGCTCCCCAGATCAACGTGGGCCCCTGCTCTCTCCTTGGCTCAGCCCCACTCTGTCTGACCCAGGCAATTCCAGCTCACACAGAGGACGGGACCCTCCTGACTCCCTGATTAACCTGGCCCCCCGTCAATAAGGCTAACCTGGAGCATTGGCCTCTGCCCGTTGTTCCTGGGGACTGTCAGTCTCAGGGTCCTGATTTCCCATCCACCCCTCCCCTTTCTCTTGGTACTGGGAGCTAGCCAACCAACCTCCCACTCTCCCCCCCCCCCCCGAGCTTTCGTAAGGGGACAACAGTGGTTTACAAGTGGTTACACTTGGTTTAGGAGCGGCATATGGGCCAAGTGAGGTGAGACCCTGCACTCAACTCACCCAGCGTGTGGGGGGCCAGGGGCCCGGCTGGATTAGGGCGAGGGGCCGGCTGGGTGGAAAAACTTTGCCTACGTCAGCATCAAAGGGGTAACCTTCTAGCTGTCGCTCAGTGTACATGTATTCCTGGTCATGAATGACTTTCTCCTGCAGCCGAGCGCTTGGTGTAGGTGTGGGTCTGTCTTTCTCTCCCTGCGACTGTCTGGCTCAGTGCAGTTTGTACGTGGCCGTGTCTGTCAGTGTCGCCGGTGACGTGTCTGTCTCACTCAGTTTAGCTGAGTCCTGTCCCCTCCCCAGGGCGGGTCTCTCTCTCCCTTTGCAAGGCACTGATATCAATTCTCTTTCCTCGGCACTCAGCTGCTTCCTCAACAGTGCCCTCAAACCTCCCAAGACACTGCTCCCAGCAGTCAGCCCACCTCCAGCTTCCCAGGATGCACCCCTTGCGGCTGCTCATTTACCTGGGCACAGGTGAGTTGCCAGCCGGTGAGGTGGGGAAAAGCTGGGGCCCTGCGTGCACCAGCTCATTGCCTAAACTTCGGGAAGGGGCATGGGAGCATCTGGGCTCTCAGGCCTCCTGGGTTCTGTCCCCAGCTCTGGGAGGGGAGGGGAGTTACAGCGGGGGCTCGGAATCAGTCCCACAGCCAGGAGGGGCTGGCCCCTCAGCCCCCACCAGTGGCCCCTTCTCAATGGGGAAAGCTAATATGTGGCTGTTTAACCCCTGCAGTGCTGGTACCGAGCCGTGGATTCAGCGTGGATGTGGCGGGACCCATCACCTTCCAGGAGGCAGCCAGGGGGTTCGGGCAGAGCGTGGTGCAGTTCGGGAGTGCCGGAGCTGGGGGGTAAGGGCTGAACAGAGGCCCAGAGCCCTCCAGTAACATGCCTCATATACACCCACGAGAGGTCCATCTGGCTGGGCTGCCCTGCCTGGGCCTCACCATCCAGGGGTGACGGGGCATCCCCTGAGCCCCCCTCTGCTCTCTCCCCCACAGCCTGCTTGTCGGGGCCCCGCTGCAGATGGGAGACGTGAATGAAATCGGCAAAGTCTACAAGTGCGACCCAGGCTCCAGACGCTGCCAGGAGATCCCCATCCAGAGTAGGGGCACCCTGTGCTGTGGGGTCCAGTGGGCTAGCACAGGGGTTCTGGGAGCTAGGACACCTGGGTTCCGTCCCCAGGTCAGGGAGGGGAGTAGGGTCTAGCTGGTTAGAGCAGGGGAGGCTGGGAATCAGGACTCCTGGGTTCTAATTTCTATGCAACAATTTGCCATCACTTCCCCCCAGTGTGTGTGGGGGGCGATGCACAAAGGAGAGGGGGTACGAAATGACTCAGAGATATGCAGGACTAAACATATCCAATGACAAGGTTTCTCACCCTGGTGTTGGCGTGTTTCTCCTCTCAGGGCCCCCCGATGCGGTGAACATGTCCCTCGGATTGTCTCTGGCTGCCCGGGGCTCCAATCTTCTGGTGGGTACCGCCCCTTGGGGTGGGGAAGCGGCTCGGTCTGGGGGTTGTGCCCAGGGGCTGGGTCAGTCTCTGCCCCTGTCCCCCAGAATTCCACGGGATTCTCCTCCCCCCAGCAATGGGAGCGGGATGACTGTGCACCCACCACGCTCCAGATGGGTCATGTTACCACAGGACTTGAGGGCCTGTGTGCTGCTGTCACCAGGAGGGGATGGGCTGATATCACAGGAGCGGGTGATCTTACCACAACAAGAGCTGATGTGACAGTGGTCACCGGATGACGTCACCGTCACCGGAACATGGCATTGTTACCATGGTGAGGGATGAATGACAATGCGTGTGTAGGCAGGTGCTAACCACTAGCATAGGTGGGCCATGGCCTTGTGCAGAAGACGGTAACAAGATAACAACGGGGTGAATACAGCCAGGGTGTGATGTTTGTCTGGGGGATGGTGGGACCCAGAACGGTGCACTGGAACAGCAGGGAGGAGGAGACCATCGCCATGAAGATAGTGACTGAGATGTCATGTTGTGAGGGAGGGGGGGTGACCGGGTGACATCGCCATGGGGACAGAGACTGTGCGATGACATTGTGAAGGATGGGGGTAACTGGGCGATGTCACTCTGGGGACAGTGACTGGGCACGGCCGTAGCAGGGAGCGTGATAACTAGGTGATGTCCCCTGTCCCCTCTCTGGGAGGCAGGTGCTGGGTCCTGGAGTCCTGTTTGCCCCATGGGGATCCTTCCCCTGGTGGGGACTTTCCCTGCATATCCATGGGGGAAGCAGACTCCCCTCACCCCCAGTGCTCTCCTCAGGGAGTGCCCAGTGACCCCATCCCTCTCTCGTGCCCCAGGTTTGCGGCCCCACGGTGCACCGGGCCTGTGGGGAGAACATGTACATCAACGGCTACTGCTTCCTCCTGGACCAGAGCCTCCAGCAGCTTCAGCGCATCCCGGACACCCTGGCAGGTATGGGGCAGCCCCAGGGGCAGCCCCAAGGGGCCACCGATTGAGGGGGGGGACCGGGCAAAATGGGCCCTTTGATCTGGTCTAGCTCTTTCCACTGAGTTTTCTCCATGTTGGTGGAGTTGAGTTAGGACGTATTTCTTTCCTGTCCCTCTCAGAGTGCCCCAGGCGTGCCACAGACATAGCGCTCCTCGTCGACGGCTCGGGCAGCATCAAACCAGAAAACTTCAGAAAGATGCAGACTTTCATCTCTGAGATCATGAAGCGTTTCCGCAGCACCGATACCCAGGTAACGGGCAGAAGCTGAACCCTACTTACCCTGAGTACTGCCTGAGGGCGAACTCCCAGTCACGGCTGACCCCAGTGCCCCAGTGCGGCACTAGGGGGCGCTGTGCTGCAGGGAGCAGGGCTGGGGGCTCAGTAAGGGGCGCACTCCTCTCGCAGTCAGTGCTGACCCCAGTGCCCCAGTGAGGCGCTAGGGGGCGCTGTGCTGCAGGGAGCAGCAATGGATTTTGCATCCAAAACCAGGAAAAAATTCCTGCAGAACCAGCGACATCCCGACTGCCTGCCCCAGCCGTTAACTGAGTCCGACTCCTGCTTTTCTTACCCTTCACCCTGGGGTTGTTTTTCTCTCTTCTTCCCTGCCTCCTCCTGCAGTTCGCCCTCATGCAGTACTCGCACAGATTTAGAGAGCACTTCGACTTCTTCCAGTACAGTAGGAGTCGCGACCCCGATGACCTTGTCAGGGCAGTCACACAGCTCACGGGAGCGACGCACACTGCCACTGCCATCCAGAAAGTGGTGTAGGTATTGCCCTGCTCCCCGTGCTGACTCCACAGGGAATGGGCAGCAAGGACCTGCAAGCTAAGGGATAGGGACTCAGGACTCCTGGGTTCTACCCCAGCTGTGAGAGGCGAGTGGGCACTAGTAGGTTAGAGTGGGGTGGGGATGCTGGGAGCCAGGACTCCGGGGTTCGATTGCCAGCTCTGAGCCTCTGTTGTGTTGTGACTTTAAGCAAGTCACAGCCCCTCCCGGTGTCTCAGTTTCCCCATCAGTAAAATGGGGACATGACACTGACCTCCTTTGTGAAGGACTTTGAGATCTGCAATGCCAAAGCAGTGGACGAGCGCTACGTGTTATTACATATCAATAATCCTCCCAGGCGTTCCCCACCCCCCCTTTTCCAGGCGGGAGCTGTTCACCTCTGGGAGAGGCGCTCGGGATGAGGCCACCAAGATTCTCATTGTGATCACAGATGGGCAGAAATACAAAGACCCGCTTTCTTATTCAGATGCCATCCCCGAGGCTGAGAGAGCTGGGATCATCCGCTACGCCATCGGGGTGAGCCGTGGCTGTGTGGAGAACTAGTAGGGATCTGAGCCCATGTCCAGGGACATGGTGGTGGTGTGGGAGGCAGGGGCAGTGGGCAGTACAATCAAGCATGGGAGAGCACCGGCACAGAGGCCGGGGAGGCAAACGGAAGCCAGGTTGTAACTGAGCCAGGGTATGGTGCTATAGCAGAGCTGGAGTTTCACTTGCCAGACCAAGCGGCAGCCGATTGTATCTCGTTAAAGGCTGTTCCCTGTGTCCACTATTGGTCAGGTTGCGAAACGTTGTCTAGTCAAAGGTGGGATATTCTCACTGCCCTCCAATCCACATGCCCACTCCAATGGTCTTGAAGTTTCGTGTGCTTCCAGGGGATGCAGGGTAGTGTTAGTGATCCACACGTGGGGTGACTTGACCCAAGGGTTGCTGGGACACATTCTCCCACAGATCCAGGATTTGACAAAATCACCCTGTTCTCAATACTGTTATTTCATTTTCTGCACACACTTGGGGCTCAAACAATGGCTCTGGTCCTCCCCAAGCTGACCTGTCACTCAACCCTTATGTCAGCTAGTGCACGGCATCTACTATCCCATTGGGGAAGAAGTATTGGACCAATGATTGGCCTTAGAGTGTGGATTGTCACAGCACAGCTCCAGTGCACCCCATGCCCACACCCCGGAGCCGCACATGGTGCTGGCTGACCGTGTCTCTCGAGGCCCCAGCAGGGCTTGGGGCGGGAGGGTATTCGCCCAGGCTCTTGGCCTGTGACTGATGCCGATGCCCTGGTCTCCCCTGCACTCTGCTCCATCCCTTGAAGGTCGGCGAGGCCTTCTCCAGGGCTGCTGCCCAATGGGAGCTCCAGGAGATCGCCTCTGAGCCCACTGACGAGCATGTCTTCCGGGTGGACAATTTTGACGCCCTCCAGGGCATCCAGAATCAGCTGCAGGAGAAGATCTTTGCCATCGAAGGTACCAGAGATGGGGGAGGGGCCGCACTGGTCTGGGGCACTAGAAGTGGGTTTTCAGGGATGAAATGGGACAGGGAGCTGCTGGGAATCCAGAGCTCAAATAGGCCCCAAATATCCTCTCTTTCCCCATCCAACATATATCTACTGATTTATCTCCAGAAATGCCCCTGATGCCTTTCTCATCCGGGGGCCCCCGGACAGGAGACTGGCTGGCGCAAGGGGTTGAGGAATGGGACATGGGTCCTTTTCTCAAGGGGGTGCTGGGTCCAATCCAGCCTCGAGGTGGGGAGAAGGGCTGGCTCAGGAAATGGGACATCGGGCCTTTATCATCTATGATGGTCTTTCCTATATCTGTCTGTCTGTCTCTCCCCCCAGGCACCCAGTCCCAGAGCGGCAGCTCCTTCCAGCTGGAGATGTCCCAGGAAGGATTCAGCTCCTTGCTGTCCCCTGTGAGTGACGCCTGGCCCCGGGGTGTGTCCCACGCTGACATGCCCTGGGGCCCTGATGGATCTTCCAGCCTAAGTAGCATCAGGCTGGGTTAGTCCCTGAAAGGCAGATGGCCCTTTATTAGCCCAGAGAGCTGGAGGAGCAGTGCCTGAGAGTGGCGCTGTCCTGCCAGCCGGGGCCTCAGTCGGGGGCGCTGTCTCCCCTGGCAGTCCCCAGTGCCATGCTAAGCCACACTGTTTTGCAGATGGTGAGGAGGTCTCCTAAATATTCCCTGTCCTGGCCATTCCCTGTAATCAGTCCCCTTTGCCGTGCCTGTCGGTTTAGGACGGGCCTGTGCTGGGAGCGGTGGGAGCCTATGACTGGTCCGGCGGGATATTCCTGTACGGGAGCGGCGGGCAGCCGAGCTTCATCAACGTATCCAGAACCTCCACTGACATGAATGATGCTTACCTCGGTAAGAACAAACCCACCGAGCTTCCCTTACCTATTTAAACAGCCCCCGTGCCCCACCCCAGAGGTGGCTGCATCTCAGTTCTGAGAAAGTTCTGTGCAGCACTGTTGTAGGGCTGTTTCCCATCTCACCTCCCCACGTCCCTCTCTTCCTTTGAGGTTATTCGTCTCAGCTCATCACAGCCAATGGGCAGAGCAGCTACATGGTCGGGGCCCCTCGCTATCAACACGCCGGCAAAGTCGTCCTGTTCAGCCGGGATACCAATGGTGGGGAATGGACACCCAGATGGGATCTGCAGGGGGAGCAGGTGTGGGAGCATTACAGACAATGTGGAGCATGTGTGGGTGTGGTTGTGGGGGACTCGTGCAGGACTGGAGGAAGCCTGTAAGGTTTTGACACCATGTGTTTGGCTTCACCTTCAGGAACGATTCAATCAGAAAGACTCAGGCAGGGGATAAATTTGACTGGTTTAGAGAACTGCACCGCAGCTGACAGTCAGCATCTCTCCAGTATCCCACTGCTCTTACATTCAGTTACGGTTTGTCTACACTGAAAACCCTGAGGCAGTGAGGATGCTACCTACACCAACAGGAGTGCTTCTCCCATTGGCATAGGTAACCCACCTCTGTCTAGCACTGACTACACTGGGGGTTAGGTAGTTTTAATTACGTTGTTCAGGGGGGTGGATTTTCACACCCCCGAGAAACGTAGCTATAATGTTTAGTGTAGACCAGGCCTTAGACAGAACACATAAGACTACTATGAAGAGACTCAGACAGGGTTAAAACATGGCTGATCACATGCACGGTGTCTGAAAAGGATTGTTTGCCCCTCAACTAACGCCACGCGTTTCTCGAAGGTCTAACTGCCGGTACATTCCAGCTGAACAGAATTTATAACAGTGACTTAGTCAGAGTGGCTCAGTGAATCAAGGCTACTTGTGCAAACATGGCCTCGAAAACGAAATGCATCACAATGAGCATTCAGCAGCTTTGAAAGAGGCTGCCGACCTCGGCCTGTGCGTCCACTTAGAAAGAAAACTGACGGCAGGAGCAGCACCTGCTGGGTGTAAAGGGTGGGTGAGGGTGAGGATGGAAGGAACATGGGGATTGAATCCTGCTCCCAGCAGGGTGGGGAGTGAGGGACCCAGTGGGAGAAGAAGGAGGAAGTGACTAAAATGGAGGAGTGACTTCTCTGTCCCTCCAGGTCGGCTCGTATTTCGGGGGTACGCTGTGCGCTGTGGACCTAAACAGAGATGGGAACACGGACCTGGTTCTGATCGGAGCCCCCACGTACTATACACCTCTGAATGGAGGGCGCGTCTATATCTGCTCGTTTAGCCAGCAGGTAGGAGAGACAAGCGGGGCCACGGGAAAGATGGATAGCCTGGGAGTCACATTTTACCTGGGCTGCTGTGGGGCTGGGATATTTTGAAAATAAACACCGTGATACCTGAGACTGTGCTCCAGGGAGCAGGGTGGGGGGCTCAGTAGAGGGTGCGCTCACCTAGCAGTGCATGCTGTCCCCAGTTCAGCACTAGAGGATGCTCTGTTGCTGGGAGAGGCATGGGGAGGCTCAGTAGGGGACACCGACCCTCACAGTGAATGCTGATCCATTTTCCATGTGCTTCTTTGGATCTCGCCTGCAGGGGGTGACGCTGAGGTGTAGGAGAACACTGCAGGGGCAGACGGGGCAGGCGTTCGGGCGCTTCGGGGCCAGCATGTCAGAAATCGGGGACATCAGCGGGGACGGATGGAGAGATGTGGCCATTGGGGCTCCCATGGAGAATGACAATCGCGGGGCCTTGTACATTTTCCATGGGGAAAAGAGAGGCCTCAGACCCCAGTACAGACAGGTGAGCCCAGCCCCTGTGAGGTGGGGTCAACACACAGTCCTGAAGGGTTGTTACAGGGGCCCCAGGGGCCCCTTGTGGCCATTAGCCCCTTTCCCACCTCTCACCCTCCGCTGCCCCCTAGCGCCCATTATACAGTACAGCTGCCCCTGCTGTGGGAATGTTCCTATTCTCATAAGTTTAGGGCAGAACTGAATTGCAGAGTTAATTTTTCCTAAAAAAATTAAATTGTATTACCAGTTGTGTTGAATAAATCTGAAAAAACTTTCATAGAATCATAGAATATCAGAGTTGGAAGGGACCTCAGGAGATCATCAAGTCCACCCCCCTGCTCAAAGCAGGACCAATCCCCAACTAAATCATCCCAGCCAGGGCTTTGTCAAGCCTGACCTTAAAAACTTCTAAGGAAGGAGATTCCACCACCTCCCTAGGTAACCCATTCCAGTGCTTCACCACCCTCCTTGTGAAAACGTTTTTCCTAATATCCAACCTAAATCTTCCCCACTGCAACTTGAGACCATTACTCCTTGTCCTGTCATCTGCTATCACTGAGAATAGTCTAGATCCATCCTCCTTGGATCCACCTTTCAGGTAGTTGAAAGCAGCTATCAAATCCCCCCTCATTCTTCTCTTCTGCAGGCTAAACAATCCCAGCTCCCTCAGCCTCTCCTCATAAGTCATGTGTTCCAGACCCCTAATCATTTTTGTTGCCCTTCGCTGGACTCTCTCCAATTTTTCCACATCCTTCTTGTAGTGTGGGGCCCAAAACTGGACACAGTACTCCAGATGAGGCCTCACCAATGTTGAATAGAGGCGAATGATTACGTCCCTCGATCTGCTGGCAATCACGTCCCTCGATCTGCTTTGTCTGAGCAGAGCAGTAACAGTGGCTAAAAGACTAGTCATACACAAATGGCAATCCGAAAAGCGACCAACAATTAAAAGTTGGATCATAGATCTTGTAAGCTTGGCCACCCTGGAAAGAATGATCTATGTAATAGCAATATCCAAGAAAACTTCTCCGAGATATGGGATGCTTTCCTCTGAATGATCCTATTAAAACCATTCTTCCCCCGCCCCTTCCTCCCCAGTTCCATCTCTTTCCATGTCCATCCCCCCTCCTCTGAATTTTGCTTGTTTTGAATTATTCTTTAATCTTATATTAAGAATTTTTCTTTAACCAGCTGCATTTTATAAGCCAAATTTGTTTCTAAATTATGTATTGCAAGAAATTGATTAATAGTTTAACCAGTAATAAAATATATAGTTATATGTTAAAAGTATAGCTGAGGATAGACGTCAAATGGTTAATATATTGAGACATTTCTGTATTATGAATAATTTGTGTATATTTCGGTTAGTATTTCTATATATAGATTTAAAAAATCAATACAAAATTAATAGAAAAAATACAGAACAGCCGCCCCTTCCCCATCCCTCACCCTCTGCTGCCCCCTAGTGCCCATTATACAGTACAGCCGCCCCTTTCCCATCCCTCACCCTCCACTGCCCCCTAGTGCCCATTATACAGTACAGCCGCCCCTTTCCCATCCCTCACCCTCCGCTGCCCCCCAGTGCCCATTATACAGAACAGCCGCCCCTTTCCCATCCCTCACCCTCCACTGCCCCCCAGTGCCCATTATACAGAACAGCCGCCCCTTTCCCATCCCTCACCCTCCACTGCCTCCTAGTGCCCATTATACAGTACAGCCGCCCCTTTCCCATCCCTCACCCTCCACTGCCCCCCAGTGCCCATTATACAGAACAGCCGCCCCTTTCCCATCCCTCACCCTCCGCTGCCTCCTAGTGCCCATTGTACAGAACAGCCACCCCTTTCCCACCCCTTACTGCTCTCTCTGCCCCACAGCGCATCGAGGGGTCGCTGTTTCCCAGCAGGCTGCACTACTTTGGCCAGGCCGTCAGTGGCGGGACAGACCTGACGGGGGACGGACTGCCAGACATCGCGGTGGGGGCACAAGGGCAGGTCCTGCTGCTGAGGTGAGTTACTCTGTGTCCTTGCGCTGCTCCACATGGCAGTCACAGACAGCACCAGTGCATGTGTGTGTGTGTGTGTGACTGCTGCCCCCTGCTGGAGAATGGCACAATGACAGCTCTGCTGCTCCCTTCTCTGCCCCCCAGCATCTCCTCTAGCAGAGCTGCATGTCCATATCCCATCTCCCTGGGGTGCTGGGTGGGAGGCTCAGGGGAGGGAAGGGGCCTGGCCCCATTGCAGGGAGCAGCTGGGTGACGGTTCTATTCCTCCCATGGCAGGTCTCGGCCGGTGCTCAGAGTCGGGGTCTCCATCAGTTTCCAGCCCCCCAGGATCCCAACCTCAGTCTTCCACTGCCAGGGGCAGGAGCAGCTCAACACGGAGGCCAGCAGGGCAAATATCTGCTTCACCATCACTAAGGGCACCATGGACAGCCTAGGTCTGACCAAACCCCTCCCCCCTAAGACAGCCAGTCTCCTGGGGCTGGATCGGAGCCAGCACCCCCTAGGGGGGAAAGGCCCCCATGTCCCATTTCCCCTTGATGGTCCCGCTCTCAGTCTCTCTCTGTCCGTCGTTTCCCCTCCCCTGTAGGCAACAGGATCTCCAGCACCATCCAGTACAGCCTGGCCCTGGACCCCGGGCGGACGAAGATCCGAGCCACCTTCGTCTCCAATGGCCCCGTCCTGAGCGGGGAGCTGCAGCTCGGCATCGAGACGAGATGTGAGACATACCAGATAACATTACCTGTGAGTGTGGGGGGTCCTAACCCCTTCCCCTCCTACTGTGTCTGCCTCTCCCACTCTGCCCCTCGCTCCCAAATCACCCAGAGAACAAACCTCTCTCCAGGTCCCACCCAGCCCCCAGCCCCCCTTTCCCTTCAGGGGCCCGTCATGTCTCTCTGTCTCCCCAGCTCTGCCCAGAGGACACCCTGACCCCCATCACCCTGCGCCTCAACTACACCCTGACGGGGGAGCCCATTGCCGTTGTCCATCGCCTCAGACCCATCCTGAGCGAGGACTCCACCGTGATGACTTCAGGCGTGGTAAGGCTGCCAGAGCCGGGCAATGGTGTTTGTGACAGCATCAACGTTGGTTGTAGTGGATCTGGGCGTGGTTGCAGTGCTGGAGAAGCCTGAATGGATGTTCTGTGGTGATGGGTAAAATTGTGATGTGGGTGACAGCGTTGGGTGAGGTTGCATTGGTTGTGTTATTGGTGATGTTGTTGGTTAGGACTGCAGTGGTTTCGGTGACAGTGTTCGCTGAGGTTGAAGTAGCTGTGTTTGTGAGGGGTTGGTTCAGATTGTAGTGATCTCGGTGACAGTATGGTTTGAGGTTGTAGTCATTATGGTATGGGTGATGTTGGCTCAGACTGTAATGGTCTTGGTGGCAGTATTGGTTCAGGTTGTTGTGGCTTTGTTGCTTGTAGGGGTGCAGATTGTATTTGTGGTGGTGGTTGTGTTGAGATTGTACCGGTGACAGTGTTGGCTGAGGTCGTAATGGTTGTGTTGTTAGTTACTGTGTTGGTACAGAAGATACTGATGGGTGGCGGTGGTTAGAGTGGTGTTGGCGACAGTGTAGTTTGTGGTTGCTGTGGGTGAGTGGTTGGTGACTGTTGTTTCAGACTCTATTGAGACTCTATTATGGTAGAGATTGTAATTGTATTAGTTACCGGGTTAGTTGTAGTTGCAGTGGCTGTGTTGGTAACTGTTGTTTCAGACTCTATTGGTAGCGGTGGTTGGTGAGATTGTAATGGTGTTGGTTACACTGTTGGCTGAGGTTGTAGTGGTTATGTCATCGTGACAGTGTTGGTTGACACTGTATGGGAGGTGTCAAGGCTGATTCCCCACTCTGGCACTTTGAGTGCAGAAGGTGGGGGCCCGCAAGGATTCTAAAAATGGATACTGGCCACTCCAGGCTGGTATTAAACTCCAAGGTTACTGCTTCTCTCTGACCTTGGCTGGGTAGAGGCTGCCCCCACCCAAGTGCAGAACCCCTTTGAGAGCCCAGGAAGGTGCACTTGGGAAATTCCTCCTTGTGGGGTACCCTCAAGCCCTTTCACCCCGTCTCCGGGGAAGCGCTGAGAAAGAAAAAAAGGAAATCAGCTGTTGCCACCGGCTAATTAAACATCTGCACTAACCTCTTAAGATACAAAATTCCAATTCTGCTCTTAAAAAAGGTAAATTTTATTAATAAAAAAAAGAAAGAAAACACATCTGGGAACTCAGGTGACTGCAAGTTTTTACAAGAGCAATTACAAGAATTAAGCATCAAGAATCGCTTCCTTGAGGTTCAGCTTAAAAGTTACCAGCAAAACAAAAGCACCTGGGGTTAGCACAGAGGAATCCACAAGCCATAAAGAAATAAAAGGGATCAACCTGATCGCGTCTTCCTAGACATTCCCTGATCCACTTACATATCTGGGGTTTTAAATGAGTAGTTTCTAGGTATGATACTGATGGTTTTTAATACCTGGCCTAAGCTATTCACAGCTTAACTGCTGTCCTGTCTGCCTCTCCCTGGGAGAACAACAACAGACAGACCAAAGGGGAGTCGTTTCCATTTTAAAAAGTTCGAGCCTTCCCATTGGCTCTTTTGGCCAGGTGGCCACTCACTTCCTTTTCCCTATGCATAACAGTGAGACTTTCTAACCCTTTACAGGCAGAGCAATTAGAGAACAGCTACTAAGAGGGAGTTTATCGCCACTGGCTGGCTGGGTGTCCATAAAAGGGAGCTTCCCCCCACCCCCCTCTTTCCTTTATCACAGGCGGTGGTGGTGGAAGTGACGGTGGAGACCGTAGTGGGGGGTACGTTGGCAGAGGTTGTTGCCTCTATAACGCTGGCGGTGGCGTTAGTTCAGACTGTGATGATGCTGATGCCGGTTGCAGTTGAGACTGTGGGGCACCTGTTGACGGTGCTGGTGACGCTGTCCGTTCCGACTGTTCGGGTGCTGGTGACGCTGTCCGTTCCGACTGTTCGGGTGCTGGTGATGCTGTCCGTTCCGACTGTTCGGGTGCTGGTGGCGGGTTGGGAATGCGAAGGTGCAGGTAACAGTGTAGGGGGGCAAATGCAGCCGTTGCGTTCTTCGTGAGGCTGTTTCACACTGTATTGCGGGCGGTGGTGACGACTGAGATTATCTGATGGGTGACGACGCTGGCTGAGTTTTGCTCCTGTCCCCTCCTAACCACCCTGACCCCTGCTCCCTTCCTCGCCTCCCCTGGGATCTCGCCCTAGCTCCCGTTTGAGAAGGACTGTGGCACTGACAGCATCTGCACTGATGAACTACAAATTTCCTTCAGTTTCTCTGGGTAAGTCCTCCCCCTGCCTCCCCCCTCCTCCCCCCAGATAACTTCCACATTGGGACCCGTCCGGCTCAATCAGGCCTCAGATCTGCAACACCCAGTGGGGGATCTCCCCATATTTCCTCGTGGCATCTCACTGGGCACCGATATAGGAAGCTGGCAGCCCTTTTATAAGAAGCTCGCACCACTGCCCCAGCGCGGCATTAGGGGCTGCGTGGGGTTCCCATCTGGGCACTGTTATAGGGCGCTCACAGCACTGGTTTCCCCTGCTGGACACTGTCTTGAGGAAGCTTGCAATGATGCTGAGGCACTGCCCTCCCTGAGGAAGCTCACCCCTTTGTCTCCCCCTTAGCTTGAGCACCCTGGTGGTGGGGGTCACCCCCAAACTCAACATCACCGTCTCCATCCAGAACCGCGGGGAGAATTCCTACAGCACCACGGTGCGGTTCTTCTACCCGGCCGCGCTGTCCTACCGCCGGGTCCTGCTGCTCCAGGTACCATCCAAACCCTCCAAGCACTGCCGACAAGGAGGGCAGGACACAGGGGATGGTGCAGAGGGCGGGCATGGGCTCAGCAGGGGGCGCTGTGCTGCAGGGGGCAGGGGCTCAGCAGGGGGTGCTGTGGGCCCTGTCTTTCACTGGATGGTTTCCTGTGCTCAGTCTAACAGGAGGGCCATGGTCATTAAGTGCAGCTCGGCCGTGGGCTCCGAGGAGCAGACTCAGAGGAACAGCACCTGCCACATCAACCACCCCATCTTCTGGAGTGGGGCCAAGGTAGGATTGCCCACCCCCCTCAGCCCAGTAGCCTGTCACTGCCCATCCCCTGCTTTCTCTGCCAGTTTGCCAGGCCCTGAGCCTGGCTCTCTCTCACCCCACATGTGTTTTCCAGGCCACTTTCATCGCCACCTTTGACGTCTCCCCCAAAGCCGATCTGGGGGACAGTCTGCAGATCACAGCCAAAACCAGCAGGTGAGGGGGGCATGCAGGCCACAGAGGGCAGTGTGGGAGGCAGTGCAGAGGGCTAGGTGTGTAGGGCAGTGCAGTGGGGTGTGGTGCATGGTTCAGTCTATTGATGTGTAGGGGAGGGCAATGGTATGTGGTGCCTGGTGCAGACTGCAGGTTAGTGCAGTGATGCATGGTCCAGTGAAATGCAGTCAGGTGTAGGGCAGTGCTGTGTGCTGCAGTGCAATACAGTGATACATGCGCATTGCAGTGATGGATGGTGCGATGGCAGTTCCACAATGCCTGTGCAGTGAAATGCAATGGTGTGGGGGGCAGTGCCGTGCAGGGCAGTGATGCCAGTCACAGTGCCATTGAATGGAGGGCACAGCCGCTCAATGGCCTAGGAGGCAGTGCAGCACGGTGATGTGTGGCACTGCTGAGTGGCAGATGCCATAAAGCCAGGCAGAGCAGTGTGATGCAGCCCAATGCATGAGGCACCGTGCGGGCTGATGATGCCAGCTAGTACACTGCCCCACGGCAGACAGCCAGGGTGCAGTGGTGCAGGGCAGTGACGCATGCTGAGAGGCATTGTGCAATGCTGTACGCTCAGGGAAAGGCTGGGTGGCACAGTACAATTACCAGTACTTCAGGGTGGTGCAGCGATCTATACTCAAAGCAGTGGAGTATGTTGCAGTACAGTGATGGAAACTGCAGGGTGATGCAGTGCTGTATAATCCACAGCACTGGCATATGGTGCACTGCAGCGCAGTGGATTATGGTGCCGCTCACTGACGTAGACTGCAAGGTGGTGCAGTGGGGTATAAACCAGAGCAGTGGCATTTGGTGCACTGCAGCAGAGTATGGTGCAGGGCAGCGGCATATGGCGCAGTGCTGCAACCTAGGCTGCACTGTGGTGCAGTGATGCATAACCCAGACCAGTGGAGTATGGTGCAGTGCAGTGATGTATGCGGGAGGACAGGGCAATGGTGTATGGCAGTGGTTCTCAAACTAGGGCCGCCGCTTGTTCAGGGAAAGCCCCGGCGGGCCGGGCCGGTTTGTTTACTTGCCGCGTCTGCAGGTTCAGCCGATCACGGCTCCCAGTGACCACAGTTCGCCGCTCCAGGCCAATGGGGGCTGCGGGAAGCGGCACGGGCCGAGGGATGTGCTGGGTGCCCTTCCTGCAGCCCCCATTGGCCTGGAGCGGTGAACCGCGGCCAGTGGGCAGGGCCGCCCAGAAGGAGGGGCAAGTGGGGCAATTCGGCGGGTCCTTCGGTGCCGCCGAACACACGGGGAGTGAAGGACCCGCCGGCGCTTCTTCCGCTCCGGGTCTTCGGCGGCAAGGGGTCCTTCCGCTCCATGTCTTCGGCGAAGTGCCCGGAAGACCCGGAGCGGAAGGGCCCCCGCCGCCGAAGACCCCAGGCCCCCTGAATCCTCTGGGCGGCCCTGCCGGTGGGAGCCGCGATCGGCCGAACCTGCAGACGCGGCGGGTAAACAAACGGGCCCGGCCCACGAGGGGCTTTCCCTGGACAAGCGGCGGCCCTGGTTTGAGAATCACTGGTGTCTGGTGCAGTGCAATGGAATATGGCGTTCTGCAGTGACATATATTGCAGTGCAGGACAGTGGTGTGTAACCCAGAGTTGTGATGTATGGCGCAGTACAGTGACTTAGGGTGCAGGGCACGGGTAGTTCGTGCGGGGCAGTGAACTCTGGTGCATTCTCCCTGCAAAGTTACTTGGCTGTTTCTCTTCACATCTCTCCCCTTTGCCCTCCCCTCCCCCCAGTGACAATGGCGGCCCCATCACCGAGCGCATGATTCACCGGGCGGAGCTGCCGGTCAAGTACGGCATCTTCCTCATCCTCACCAGGTTGGTCCGTGTGGAGACAGAGGGGACAGGTTGGAGAGCACCCCAAACTGAGCCCCCTGCTCCCTGCAGCACAGCGCCCCCTTCTGGACATGACACCCCCCTGTCACTCTTCATTACTCTCACCCACTCCTATCCCTTGTCCCTTCCGTCCTTTTCCTCCCCCAGCCTCGAGGAGTCCACCAAGTACGTCAACTTCTCCGCCGAGGAGGCAGGGACAAGTATGCCAGTGACACATGGGTACGAGGTGAGGCCGGCGGCACAGAGTGCGAGGGGGGAGATGGGGCAAGAGGGAGGGAGTGGAAGTGGTTGAATGGGATCTAGTGGGTTAGAGCACAGAGGGGTGGGGGTGAGCAGGGAGCCAGGACTCCTGGGTTCTATCCCCAGCTCTGGCAGGGGAGTGGGGTCTGAGTGACAGAGCGGGGGCTGGGGATCAGATCTCCTGGGTTCTCTTCCTGCAGTGCCCTGTAGCGAGTCTGTTTCTTTCAGGTCAAGAACCTGCGGCAGCGAAGCGTCCCCATCTCGGTCACGTTCCAGTTCCCCGTGGAGCTGAGCGGGGTCCGGGTGTGGGACGCCTCTGAGGTCGTCCCCTCCAAGGTACCTGCCTCTCCCTGCCCTTGTGTGTGTGAGATGGGCCCAGTGACGCCGGCTCGGCCCTACAGCGCCCCCTGCTGGGACAGGCTGCTTACGGGGGAAACACACCCTGTCCCCACCCCCTAAACCAGCCAGTCCCCTGTCCTAGGGCCGGATTAGAGCCAGTGCCCCATAGAGGGGAAAGGCCCCGGGTCCCCTTCCCGCCCCCGTTAACACCGTGTCTCTCTCCCTCCCCAGCCCCAGCTGGCTCAGTGCACCAGTGAGGCTGAAACGCCGGGTTCGAAGGACTTTGTGAAGCAGATGAGCGAGCGCCCCCTGCTGGTGAGTACAGGCTGGTGCGGGTCCCAGCAGCCCCTTCCCCTCCGCACTAACACAGACAGCGAGTGGGGGGCTGAGCTGGGGGAGGGACCCCTGCTATAAACAGACCCAGACCCTCATGGCCATGCTGAGCCCCTGCATGCCCCCTGCCTCACCCGGCGATATCCTTCCGCCCCAGGACTGCTCTGTGGCCACCTGTAAGAAGATCCGGTGCAGAATCGCCTCCCTGGAATTGCAGCAGCCGCTGGAGTTTATGATCAAAGGGAACGTCAGCTTCCAGTGGGTCTCCCAGGTACGAGAGCTGCCTTTGCCTCCTGGCCCCAGGCAAGAGATCCCCCCATGTGAACAGCCCCTGAGCCCCTCCCCAGAGGTGGCTGCATCTCAGTGCTGGGCAAGGGATTGCTCCTATGTGAACAGCCTGTAAATTGCTCTGGGTCCCTCTGGGGTGATGCTCCGGGCTGGTTTGTGTCATTTCTGGTCAGGGACAGTGAATTTCTCTGTTCCAGACTCAGCAGCAGAAAGTGAGTCTGGTGAGCGAGGCCCGGATTGAATACGAGGAGAAGAAATACACCCAGAAGGAGGGATTCGTCCAGCGCCAGGTACCAGAGTGACTGTGCCCGGGATAGAGAGAGCATTGGGTAGTGATTAGAGCTGGGAGCCAGGACTCCTGGGTCCTGTCCCTGCTCTGGGAGGAAGTGGGGTCTGGGGATTTAGAGCAGGGGCGGGTGATGGTGCCCCGACTCCTGGGTCCCCATCTCACAGCTCCTCTGCCCCAGGTGCAGACGTTGGTGGAGCGCTCCGAGGTCTATAACTACTTGCCCATCATCATGGGCAGCAGCGTGGGGGGCCTGGTCCTGCTGGCTCTCATCACCGCAGCCCTCTACAAGGTGAGTGGGGCAGGGCTTGGACCCCTCCCCCACCACCCTGGGGTCGGGGCCTGTGGCTCTCCCAGCTGGGTGGGGGCAGGGAGAGGGTCCCACACCCCATCCTCCTGACCCACAACGTGAGTCTGTCCATCTGCTTCTCACTATCTCTCCCCTCTGTCTCCTACCAGCTCAACTTCTTCAAGCGCCAGTACAAGAAGATGATGGAGGACGCGAGGGATGGTGCTGGGGCCAGGCTGGACCAGAGCAACTCTGCCAATGTCTGCCTCAGCCCCAACCTCCCCAAATAATAGCCCCCCCTGCCCTGCCCCGCCCCAGAATGCTCTGCTTCTGCCTTCCCGCACATCCGCCCCCCATGGACTGCTCTGGATCTGCATTCTGATGACCTACTTGCACTCAGAACATAGCCCTATAACAACCATGTGGGGCTGGGAGTCTGGACTCATGAATTCTCTCCCCAGCTCTGGGAGGGGAGTGGGGTCTAGTGGTTAGAGCGGACGGGGGAAGCTGGGAGACAGGACTCCTGGGTTCTATCCCCAGCTCTGGAAGGGGAGTGGGGCCTAGAGGGTTAGAGCTGGTTCTATCTCTGGCTCCAGTAAGGAACTGGGGTCTAGTGGTGGGAACGGGCAGGGGAAGCTGGGAGACAGGACTCCTAGGTTCTATCCCTAGCGGATGAGAGGTCTGTGGTATGCGAGATCAGAATAATAGGGGACGTGAACCCTCTTGCAAAGCGATGGATGCTAAGGAGCTCAGTGTGTTCAGTTTATTAAACAAAGATTGAGGTGTGATTGCCGTGTATTATTGTGACCAAGCGGGAATTTTTCATAATATTTTGGATGACTATTGTGTGTGCCTCAGTTTCACCTATGTGGCGCACGGTTAACTAGGTGTGGGGGGGAACGGTTTTTACTCTTTGCAGAGACTCTTTGCAGGTGTGACTGATAGCTGGCCTGGCCCCCTTGCCCATGTGGAGCCTGAGAAGGCAATGGTCACTCCAATTGCCCGAATATTTCATACCTAGCAACTAACGACCAGGGATGGCCAAACCCTCCGCAGGAAGCCAGCCGGGTGTGACCAGCTGGAGGACAAAGAGCTAGGGAGGGGCCAGGTGAGGTTGTTAAGTGTGGGCTGCTGGAGGAAGAAGGAGACGCTTCTGGCTTGGGACAAAAGAGGGTTCAGAGGGCGAGTCTGGACCGACCCAGATGGACCATGCTGTAACTTTCTGCTCTCTGTGCTAACCACAGGGTTTCTACGCTGTTTTCCAGACATCTAAGAACCCGCCTGCTTTTACAGTGCTGGCTGAAAGTCACTGCGGATGCTGAAGGTGGGGAGGCCTTGCTCCCTTTGGGGGTACAAGTCTCCCTCCGGTGTCCAGCTCAGGCCAACTCGCTCCAGAGAGCTCACGGTTTGAAGCAGGGCTGCTGCAGGCTCCAAAGTTTGGTCCCCGGAGGCGGGGAAGCCAACGGGCTCACCCCAGTGAGAGAGCGTGACCCGAAGGGGGCTGACGCACTAAGGGGCTCCTCCCAGGGACTGTTCTAGAGCCGTGTGAGAGCACCGAGCCGTGTGGGTCTGTGACAATTATTCTCTCCCCAGGGAGACAGGTTCAGGTACCACAGGGCTCTTTACTCTCGCAGAGAAATGCAGAACAAGAACGGACGGCTGGAAGCTGAAGCCTGGCAAGCGCCTACCAGAAATAAGGCCCCCCTTTTTCACAGTGAGGGTGATTAACCCTTCGGACAAATTGCCAAAAGAAGCGATAGATTCTCCGTCTCTCGCTGGTTTCAAATCCAGACTGGAGGGTGCTTTAGCCAAACGCTTTGATCCATACAGGGGGGCCGGGTGAAATCCTCCAGCCTGTTCTCTACAGCAGGTCAGACTAGAGCCCGTCGTCCAGCCGGAACAGCTACGAAGCGATGAAAACAATTCTCTGCAGAAATTTCCCCCCGGGGTGGCTGATCCCCAAAGTGTCCACCGCAGGGTTCTCGCGCCTTCCTGAGGGCGGGCAGTGTCAGAGGCAGGGTGGGCCGCTAGGTCTGATCCAGCAAGATAGGGAGGTTCGGCTTGATGGGGCAGGGGCCAGGGGTCTGAGAGCAGAGGGAGGAGGCTGTGGATTTCCGTGGTTCTTTCCCTGTTTGGAACTTCCCTACGTGCTGGAGAATTAGAGGGTTAAAACCAATGAGCTCTGAGCCTGGCTATTTCCCAGAGCGGTTTGGTAAGGGGGCTGTCACAGCACAGGGGCTTTCCTGTCCCAGCGGCCTGCACACCTGGGTCCCCCGGCCCCATGTGTGTAAGCCCCGGGGATCACTGGCCGGCCGTGAGCAGGGCGCCGGGCACAGGGGAGAAGCAGCCAGATGCGGCCCCCGGGAGGGAGAGAAACAGCAGCCGAGGCAGGAAATCGGTGCCAAGAGGAAGCGGCCGCAGGGACTTGTAACCCTCAGGCTTGGAGGCCAGAAGGGACCATCATGATCATCTAGTCTGGCCTCCTGCACATTGCAGGCCACAGGACCTCGCTCGCTCCTGCACTAGACCCAGAACCTCTGGCTGAGTCACCGAAGCCCTCAAATCGTCAAGTGACAGAGAATCCCCCTTTTGCACCCGTTTAAACCTGCAACCTTTAAATCTGTACCCCACGCTGCGGAAGAAGACGATGAGGGGATCGGAGCTGACCCAAATCTGGGATAGGAGAAACCCTCCCCCGCCCCCAAGCCAGCGCTGAGGCGACAATGGGGGCTGTGTGTCTGTGCAGCTGAGCCCTGTGGGGGGCTGAGGAAACAGAAGTTATGGGGGGCTGGGGCCAGAATTAATTGCTCAGCAGAGGGGTGGGCGGACGTGGGGGTGACTGCTCCTGCAGCGGGATCCAAAATCAGGATGCCCAGCTCTGGGAGGGGAGTGGGGTCTAGTGGGTTAAAGCAGGGGGGTGGATAGGGCTGGGCGTCAGGACTCCTGGGTTCCATGCACAGCTCTGGGAGGGGAATGGAGTCTAGTGGGTTAGAGCAGGGGGGTGGATAGGGCTGGGCGTCAGGACTCCATGCCCAGCCCTGACCTTATCTTGTCACGTGACCTTGTCCACATTCTCTCTTCCAGTCTCTGTGCCTCCATTTCTGTCTGTCGAGTAACAAGCCCTCCCTCGCTGCAAGACACCTCTCTTAGCTCACTGGGGACACAGCACAGACCCCAAATCTTAACTGCCCCTTGCCTTGACAGCTCCACTTTGGACACTGTTTTTTTCAGTCGCTGCTGTAAAGTGATCTGAGCCCTGTTCCGTTTGTACCTGGCTTCTTCACCCTCATTTTAGTCTTATTAAAATGGGTATTTTTTTTTTAAAAGAATCACCGGAATGCCGGCACGGGGATCAGAAATGGGGGGTTAACCCTTTCTATCGGATATTCGATCTTTGTGCTCAGAGCTGTGCGGTGAATCTGAAAGTCCGGCAGGATGATAATTCCTCCTAGTAGGGGAATGAAGGATTAAGTCCCCCCTGCTCTTCTGTGCTGGGAGCAGAAGCTGTAACAGCACAAGGAGTTTCCTGTTCCCACCCCTCCCCTCGGCCCCTTTCCGGGATCAGAGCCAGAACCACACCTGGGACCCCCCCGCCCACCTCCTAACCAGCTCTAGGGTAGCATGGGAAGGAGGATCTGTGCAGCTGAGCTCAGCAGGGTACCCCTAACTCAGCCGGAACCTCCCCCACTTTCCACCTGATGTGGCCATGAGCTGGTTGAGGGAATAAATTGAGCTACCGGCTGTTTACACAGGGATACTTCCAAGGGCACTTAGATACAGCCACCCCTGGGGTGGGGCAGGGGGAGTCTTTATGCAGGGATTCCTTGCCTGGCACAGAGATGCAGCCGTCTCTGGGGTAGGGCAAACTGGTGTCTAACAGCAACACTGCAAAAGAGTTGAGGACAGCAAGTGAAGAGGAGCTCTGCATGCAATTGAAACCGTAGTGGGGGATTTCAGGAGACAGAATGGGATTGCTGGAGCTGGGATTTGGCCATCCGTCCCCTCCTAAGCCCACAGCAGCCAGACAGGTTCCCAGGCTGTTGGCCGGTCCCACCCCAGGCTCTTGGTTCATAGCGGGCACCCGGACCCTGCTCGCCATGGGGACTCTCTAGTGCCCAGCTGGGGGGAATCAGGGTCGCCCCCTGGAGGATAAACCTGTTTTCCCTCCCAGCCTCTGCCCCTGGCGCCCCCATCTCAGGGGTAGCAATCAGGGTGGCAAAGTACAGTCTCATGCATGTCCCAGCCCTGGGGGCACAGAGGGGATCCCGGATCCAGGGTTTCCCGCCCCGTGTCCCTTTCCAAGCTGTTGAATGGGCCAGACTGTAAATAAATCCACTGGGAGACAGATCCACTCAGGTTTATTGTCACTAGGCCCAGGGCCTCTTGGGCAGGGAGGGCGGGTGGCTCAGTGATGACCCCTTGCTTCTTCGTAGCCTGTGGGCAGGGGGTTGGTGTGGGGTTGTGGAAGAGGCTGTGGTTCCCGTCAGCCCAGGGGAACGCCTGCAAAGAAAAAGAGGGGGACAGGAGAGGGGGTGTCTCTTTGCACCTTGGCTTTCTCAGGGCTGGCTGCCCTGAGGCCAGAAAACTCACTGCACCTCTGAGCTAGGGATCCTTTCATTGCTGTGGCTCAAACCCACAGGCCCAGCTAGCCTGGTATCCGGCCCCCTCCCTGACAGCTAGGGTTGCCAACTGTCTAATCACACAAACCCAAACACCCTTGCTCTGGCCCCTGGCCCATCCCTTCTCTGAGGTCCCGCCCCGTTCACTCCATCCCCCCTCCCTCCATCGCTCGCTCTCCCCCACCCTCACTCACTTTCACCAGGTTGGGGCAGGGGGTTAGGGTGCGGGAGGGGGTGCGGGCTCTGGGTTGGGGCTGAGGAATTCGCAATGTGGGAGGGGGCTCCGGGCTGAGCCTGGGGCAGGGGGTTCGTGGGCAGGAGAGGGTGCGGGGTGCAAGCTCTGTGACATTATCTGATTACAGTATGACCATGTAGAGTATTGTTGCAACCACTGTTATAGATTTGCAGCAAACCTCGTACACAGGTTGTCGAGTGAGGCATCTATGAAAAGGTTATGTTTTGCTGGTTATGATTATGCTATCTGTATGCACATACCATTTTTGTATGTGACGTTATAAGTATCAGAATATCCACCAGCTTTATGGGGATTGTCTGCCCCATTCTTTGCAATTCCCCCTAACTGAGTGACCATAGCTATCCCCACTGGGACGCTGGTCACAGCCATGTAAGATAACTGCAAAAATGTGATAATTTGCCATAGATGATCATCTTGTTGATATGTTTGTATCACCTTTGTACTATACGTTATAGATCTGTATATACAGTAACTCCTCACTTAACGGCGTCCCAGTTAACCTTGTTTCGTTGTTACGTTGCTGATCAATTAGGAAACATGCTCGTTTAAAGTTGCACAATGCTCCCTTATAAGGTTGTTTGGCAGCCGCCTGCTTTGTCCACGGCTTGCAGGAAGAGCAGCCTGCTGGAGCAAGCTGGTGGACCGGCAGCCCCCCTAGCCATGGGCGGCGAGTTCTATGGGCCCGCGGTACCTGGGCACCAGGAATATTCCTGGGAGGGGCCCGGCTCCCGCAATGTTTGAGGCCGGGTCTCTCCCTCGGCCCCGTCTTCTGCCCCCGGGCGATTTAAAACGGCCCGGGACCCCCACCCACAACCAGCAGCGCGGTGCAGCTGAGCGGCTTCCTGCCTGCTCGCTCCATGTGGCTGCCGGCCCTTCCCTGCGGCCCTGGGGCGGGGGGTCTGTGTCTACCCGC